TTCTACTCTATTATACAAACATAAAAAACATGTGTTTGACCTCCTCGGACACGTGCCGTATGTACCATTCTGTTTGTTATTTTTACAGAACAGAAACCATGCCTCAGACCAGTGATTTTCAACCTTTTTCATCTCACCGCACACATAAATTACTAAAATTCTGCGGCACACCAAAAAATATATCTCATTTTTTTGCCGATCTGACAGAAAAAAAAAGTTATAATCTTGATTCATTCACACTGGACAGCTGTATTGTATTGGCTGTTGTCATTTTTTTATTTGACAATCTAAGGGAACCGAGGTCAGTGCCCTGACTGAAGAGTCAGGTAGGGCATGTTTTAGAAATTCTTGCAGCGCAGCAGCTGAACATCACTGCTGTGGACATGCACCTTTGCATTTCTTTTGCTTAGTTTTGGAGCACGAGCGGTTTTTCACACATCACATGTTCTTTGAGATCATTTGCAGTAACTCCCTGAGGTTCCAGAGAGAGCACAGTTCCTTGGGAAGGAGAGGGATTCGATCCATTTTCCATTTACAGGGAGGGTGCTGGAGAAGTGCACTGTGGGGTCCCACTTGCCTCCATTTAGCAGCCCCTTGCGTGACTCCCAGGCCATGCGGTGCCTGAGGCACGGAGCAGGAGCCTTCAAATGAATGAGTTCTGGGGAAGTAAGCTCTCAACTTCAGGGGACCCCAGGGTGGCTTTGTCGTGTGCCTCCTGAAGGCAGGTCTACTTCAACCTGCTCGGAACAGCAGGAGTGACTTCGCATTGCTTCTCAGATTCATTGTAAGGAAAAGAACCGTGGAAATATTAACAAACAATTCAAAGAGGAGGCAGAATTCCTATTTGGGGAGCTGGCAGAGACAGCTGCTCACAAAATGAACACGGCAGGCGAGGCGCAGGCTGCCACTAGGACAAACCCAAAGGCCTAGCTGACGNCACCCCCACCTTCCTTCTGAGATTTCACTGAATCTACTTCCATGTCACTGAATCTACTTTGTTCATCAGATTATTATATTCTTTAGATTCCACTTATAAGTGAGATCATGTGATGTTTGTCTTTCTCTGCCTGGCTTATTTCGCTTAGCATAATATTCTCCAGGTCCCTCCATACTGTCCCAAAGGGTATGGGATCCTTCTTTTTTACAGCTGCATAGTATTCCATGGCATGAATGTCCCACCGCTTTTTTTTTTTTTTTTTTTAAATATGCATCATACTCTATGAAAGTAGAAGATGCTTCATGGAAAAGCCGAATCTTAGTTTCCACGCATAGCTCACCAATGGTTTTCCTTTGAAGAGCATTTCCATTTGATGTGTGCAGTGCGAGTTACAGTGTGTGGGGTGTTTCCCTTCCAGCTGCCCTGTTTTCAAAGAGTCGTGTGTCTCACTGTGTGGTTCTGGAACCCACAGCAGTCTTGAAAATGAAGAACCTACACATTAAGATTATTAAGATAGGAAAACTATTACCTTGGGGGGAAATGGGATTCAAATTAGTTGCAGATTTTACCCAAAGGAGGCGGTCTCGCACAATATATGGACTCTGTAACTTAGATAAAATATCAGAACCCTGGCAAATCAGAAGCTAAATTTGGAAGCGAAATTGAGCTGGTTATCTGTGATTTTTACTTTGTAACTTTTTGATGTCTTACTAGGTTACGTAAGTGTAAAGGCCATTTGCTTACGAGATCAAAATACTCAAGTCAATTCCTCATTCTGCAATGCGAGAACCAAGCCAGCAACTGAACCCAAAGTATGCAACGCTTTCTCCTGCCCTGCCTAGTAAGTCATCTGGAAATGTCTTTCTGGTTATATTCTTTATTCTGCCTTTATTGTTGGTACGAGATAATTAAAGCCCACAGCTCAATGCTTCTGATCAGAAGTGATCTTAAGATAGATAGAATGCCCAAAAAAGTAATAGAAGGTAGTTGAGTTTAAAATATAAAACTTGAAAAATAAATTTGCTTTAGACATTCATTTAACTCTGGCTCTGCAAACCTAACCTTAGGATACGGGTGGTGGTGTTTTTTTTTTATGACTTTACATAGAGACGCCTCTTCTCTGCACTAAGATATTTGACACAGATTTGTATATTAGTTAAAATTTACATGTGGTTGTGTGCTTAACTTTTATATAGTTGTCTAAGAATTTAAAAAGCATAATATTGTGCAGGCCATGAAACCCCAAATGCAAATTACACAGTAGCAAGACACAGTAAAAGGAAAGGGCTAAGAGCCCAAGCGGTCATCCGCTTCTGATGGTGGTAACCGATGGGGAGCCCAGTGGGTTTGTTTCTGGATGGATTTTAGCCACACTATTGTTTGAACAATAATTTTAAGTCATCTTCCCAACCAAATGGAGTCTTTTCTTGTGTGATTTATCTTCTGCCAAATGTATTTATATAGAATCAACAGAGTTTCTTCCAAAGCAAGGTTGTGTTCACCAATGTTTCGGGTCATCTTAATAAGTAGTGTTCGCTTTGTGGTAATGCAGTGATTTTACACAATCTTTTTATACACATAACAAGTATTTGTCATCATTGTTTGGGGCTTTAGCTCTCTACCAATCCCATGTTCCCAACAGTCAGCCCAGTTTTTCTCTTAGAATCTGGAACCAGCTGTATCCTAAACACAAAAAAAGAAACAAACTTGGGGCTTTTATGGATTTTTCCCTTTTGCTAAGAAATACCTGGTTCTAAGATGCAATTACCAGACAGTATTATTGAGCCCTGTGGAGTCCTCTCTCCTGTGGGTGGGAGGTGTGTGTGTTTATGTACCTGTAGGAATTGTAGGCTTGAATACAAGCTGCTGCTTTCTCACTGTAAGGTGCCTTCCCATCATTAGTTAGCTCAGCCAGCCAACGAAAGGGACTCCATGCACATACACATCCAAGAAAAGGGGGAGAACCTCAGTCCTGTCGAACTCCTAGGACTTCCCCAATGGCTCCATGTAGAAACGATACTCTGTGCAGTAACAGGTTCACTGGCTCTTGAAAAGTAGCCAAGTTGGAGCAGTGACACAGGCAGGATCTCGTTGCCTTCTTTCTTCACCCCATTATTTATTTCTCATTATTTTCTGGTGTAATCATGGAGACTCTCAGGGACTATTCGTCCTTAGGGATATACTAGAAATAAAGTTCAGATTCCAACTGTAGAGCTAGAAGGAAAAAGAAATTAATCTGCAGTAACTCCACTCTTTCCCCACGTAGCAGTCGTGTCATGTGTGTGCTTACTGTACGCCAGCCCCGAGCGAGGACCCGAGCGAGATGAATGACTTGTAGTTCTTGCCATCAATGAACCCCCAGCCAAATGGACGAGATGGGAGTGTAAAGAATTAATAAGATGCAGTGAGATACATGCTATTACAAAAGTTACATAAGAAAGCAGTAAAGGAAGAATGGACTTCGTTAGGGGTCTGGGGTCTGAGGTCGGGGTTCATAGGGTAGGAGGATAGGTGGGAAGTCAGCCTGGGGTCCAGATGTGGGGAACCACACAGGTCATGCAGAAAGTCTATGTGTGTTATGCTTCTTCTAGCACTTTTATAAAATCATCATCTCTGCCACATAAAGGAAAGAAACTTGAATTTGGTAGACATTAAAATGCCATCTTTATAGACAGATGTTGAAGCTACTAATGTTGTAACATATGTCTTCTTTACATCTTAGTATAAGATACAAATAATTGTGCAAACATAAGGAATTTTTATTTGATGCAATCTTCCTTTAATTAATAAGATAATATGGACTATGTAATGTTTTAGAATACATATAATGCTAGACCCCATGTGGTAAACTCTCCAGGCTAAAGGTCTTTCATTTCCCACGTGAAGCTTGTGGGGAAGCTAGAGATAAAATTTATAGGGCTAGGAAAGGTGAGAGAAATGCAAGGATGTAACAAGAACGTATTTGTGATGTTATATTTCTTAAAATGATTCTTAGAACACGGGTAGAACAAGCCGAGTTTTAGACATCGCTGCTCTGACTCAAATGTATTAAATGTCCTATCTGATAGATCTTTTAAATGCTAGGCCTTCAAATCATAGACTTTCAATTAATCAAAAGTAGTTGTTGAAAAGGATTAATAGTTTCTGTTGATTACCGTTCAAATATAAACCAAGCCTCAGACGGCTGTGAAAAGGCTGGTCTGGCAATTTTTGAATAAAGACCCATCAGTAAGTTTTAAGACTAAGCAGAAAATAGTTGGGAGAGTTGCCTACTTAGAAATTTCTTCCGTGAGACCTCTGAATGCACCCCTCTCTCCTGCATGTGCACATGGGTACGAACACACACACACACNATTTCTTCCGTGAGACCTCTGAATGCACCCCTCTCTCCTGCATGTGCACACGGGTACGAACACACACATACACACACACCCCTCTCATTGATCACTTCCATTAATCAGCATTGTAGTTTATATATCAACTAATATTGTGGCAATTATCAGAAAGCATTGTCTCTGTTCCCATATCTGCCTCTTCGCTGTGCTGTAGGCTCCTTAACGGAAAGAACATTGCATCATTCCTTTTTCCAACCCTAATGCCTAGGAGAGTCCCTGGCACAGAGTTAGGATCCCAAGAAATTTGGCCGAATGGCTGGATTGCTCAGATTTCCAAATGGCACACGCTTCTTCCCCTGCAGAGGGCAGGAATGCGTTTTTCCCCAGCACTGTGTGGTGACTAAGTGACTCCTTCTAACTGGACCATACTTATGTGGGCTTCAAAATCTATAGAAGAAGAGTTAGCGTGAATTGCCCTTATTGGTTCTAAAATTGGCCTAAGGCTTTCATCAGGTGGTTAAGCCTCTGTGGTAACTGCTTTGGAAGTGATGAGCCAAAGTCTCAGCTTCGTTGGAAGTAATTTTTGCTTTTCACTGGCAGTTGGAAGCCAGGCGAGTGGAGCGTGTGCAGCAGGCCGTGTGCGGGGGGCCAGCAGAGCCGGAAAATCCAGTGTGTGCAGAAGAAGCCCTTCCAGAAGGAGGCGGCAGTGTTGCACTCCCTCTGCCCAGTGAGCACGCCCACTCAAGTTCAAGTCTGCAACAGCCACGCCTGCCCTCCCGAGTGGAGCCTCGGGCCCTGGTCTCAGGTAACTGGGACAGACGTCGAGTCTTTGGTCTTGTTCCCCATGGGAAACGAAGGTGACAAAAATATAGGTGGTATCTTTGCTTCCCAAGAGGCTCTCAGCTGTTTACACCTTCAAGAGAACCACACTGAGTTAATGCGATGGGCCTTTTAATGAACGTTTTTAGTAATTCTTATGCAACCTGCAGTTTGGGACCCTCAGAAGTCCAGAATTTAGAATGTGGGGGACAGGCTAGACTAGTGAGCCCAGCTAGATAGGATTCAAGAGTCAGAGGACTGGCAGATGAAACTGGCTACTGAATTCTCCAAAGCAAATGGAAAAAAGAAATACGAAAACTGAGGCCTAAAAAGGTACTTAACTCTTGCTTCCATGACAGAGGCGGGGTTAAAGGACTACAGAGAGGAGCTGGGCCTAAAGTTTGCTGTTGTCACAAACTCCCAGTGAAAGGTACAAGGTTGTAAAGTTGCAAGAAACGTAGAACCACCTGTCATTCACGGCTCAGAGGTTCTCAACTGGGGCGGGGCATTTGGCAATGTCAGGGGACATTTTCCATCGTCACAACGGGGGTACTACTGGTGAGATAAACATCCTACAATGGACTGGACAGCTCCCCCAATTGTGCCCAGGGTGAGAACTCTGCTGCATAATCGCCCAACCTCTGCTAAACCACAGATGGTGAGCCAATTTTAGGCAATAAAAAAAATTCAGGTTTTACCGCCTGAAGTAGGAAGCCAGGTAGCAGCCCCTGAGCACATTTCTGCCATGCTTCCCTTTAGGGCACATTGTATTGTGGAGGGTAAATGCAGCAATGCACTAGCACGTCCCCAACAGAGGTCAGAAAAAGGTTTTGTGTTTTTAATGACAGGACATTATGGAAAATGTTTTCTGATGTTGGGGGGGGGAGAACGTCTTTGAGCATGGTTAGGTGCACTTTTAAAATGAGGGCAAACGTTCATTTATCGCAGAGGGTAAATCTAAGTAGTGCGTGGGGCTGAGTCTGCTCTCTTTCTTCGCGATTAGGAGTTATAACTTACAAAAGGGAGAATTCAAAGGCCTGTTTTAGCCAAGTGTGTGTGCTGTGCGTGGATAGAGGAAATGGGGGGGTTCTTCATGAAAAGGAGCCTTCGTTTATGGAGTTTACCCCAGATTTCACACGGAAAGATTTTGAGAGTATTTTGTTTCTTGACTACAAAAACCAAGTATATCTGAGAACTTGAAAGCCATTTGAAACTAGCACGCCAATGGCGTTTTGCTTTCATCTCAAGTGTTCCAAGACCTGCGGGCGAGGGGTGAGGAAACGGGCAGTCCTGTGCAAAAGCCCCTCCGCGGCAGAGGGCCTCCCCGAGAGCCTGTGCTCCAGCAGCCCGAGGCCGGACTCGCAGGAGGGCTGCGTCCTGGGGCGGTGCCCCAAGAACAGCCGGCTGCAGTGGGTCGTCTCTTCATGGAGCGAGGTAGGAGTTCGAATGCACTGCTGGGGGCTGGGTCTTGGGTGTGTTTTTAACGCTCAGCTTACCCACCAGCATCCGGATGCTCAAAGCTTCTTCCTGTTCGACACACATATACCAGGTACCTTCTAATTATTTGTTCTTCCCACCTGATTTCTTCGTCAAATATTGATAAAGCACCCCTCGCGCTGATCAGGCAGCGGAGGTCCCAGGCTCCATAGAGCACTGGGATGGAACATGGGCAAGGGACGCAGAGAGCTGGCATGGGGTCTGTCACCCCATGGCTCAGCTTGAGAACTGCCTAACCCGACGTCAGGAGGGATCCTTGTCAGAAGGGACTTTCCAGGGAGTGAGAGCCTGGAGGACGAGGAGGAATCAGGCGGAGGTGGGCTTGGGGGAAGGTTGCCCCTCACAGGGAGAGACTATCCACACTCCATAAGAAGGGACCCGGGTGTGGGGAGCCGGAAACGACATCGGGGACAGAGCATGAGGGCCTCGGGGAACAGACTAAAAACATATCCTTTAAACATTGGGGAGCCAATTAAGATGTTGACGAAGTGGAACAAGCAGGTTTTCATTTCAGAGAAAAGGAGAATCGATGCAAAACGGGCAGAGGCAGGATGGTGTTTGCCTGGGCATCGGGGTCATTAAGACCAAAGGGGAAAGCGTTTCAGCGATGGGGAGAAGGGATACCTCTGAGGGGTCCGAGGGAGGCCATTTGGTACCTTCAGGATACGTGGGCAAGGCGAAGATGCCCCCGAGATTGCTGGCGTGGGAAACACGAGGGCAGGAGCCAAGCCAGAAGTGGGCTCCGGCGAGCTGTGAGACGAGGTCTCTGCTCTCGGACTCAGTCTGCGGAGGAAGACAGATGCTGAGAAATAAAAGTCAATAGTGGGGCTCAACACAGGAGGGGTTTCTATCTATCTCAACCGGCTCTTTTCCGCTGAGGCCCTTTTACCCTGCCTGAGTGACAAGGATAGGGCAATATATCCATCTCTCTTTTCCTCGCTGTTTCTTTAAGAGGCATTTAAAGTCCTACTGGCTAAATGCTTGGGTTGGAATCAAGCTTACCCCATTGGAAGGCAGCTTTCAGGATTTACTGTGGGCTCGGGCTTAGCACGTACCACGGCTAAGCCTCAGTTTGCTCGTCTGTACAATGGAGCCGACACTTGCCCTGCCTCATAGGGCTGCTGTAAATAGGAGGCTCAGCGCCATCCTTTACTGCTTATGATTGTTACACTGACACCCATTCTTATTGATTCAGCTCATCAAGGCCCTGCCCTTTATCCCAAAATAATGTTTAAAACAGAAACAAGTTTTCTCATACTGATTTCATCAGTCTCCACCCTTCTTTCTCTCTCTTTCCTGTCATAACACGACACCAGGTTCTCTCTCAGCGAGAGCAGCAGGATAAATAAAATAGAGGCTCCTGAGTGAGAACAGCCCTAAGTCATCTTTGTGTCCTGCCTCCCTGGCACAGACTCCCAGCTTTTTAGGCATCAGGTAGACCTGGACATACAAATAAACGCCTCCCAGAGACCCTGATCCCATCCTCTGCCATCTTGTCTTTGTCTGGACTTTGCCTCACTGACCTCCAAAGGGGCAGGGCCTGGTTTTGTTTTATGGCGCTGATGAGCCCTGTGGCTGCTTTTCTCACCTGTAACACGAGGGACTTGGTGCCATGTCCGTGGGATCCTTGCGTGCGTGTGGCTGACCTGCCGTCACCCAGTCCCCCTAATTCCACGTGGACCGCGCGGCCTTAGCTGGAACACATCTGCTCAGCAGACTCGGCTGGAGCTCTGCACACTGACGCCTGCTTTCTTGGCTCCTAGTGCTCCGTGACCTGTGGTTTGGGTGTGAGGAAGAGGGAAATGAAGTGCAGCGAGAAGGCCTTCCAGGGAAAGCTGATAACTTTCCCAGAGCGAAGGTGCCGCAATATTAAGAAACCAAACCTGGACTTGGAAGAAACCTGCAACCGAGGGGCCTGTCCAGCCCGTCCGGTGTACAATGTGGCGGCTGGATGGTATTCATCGCCATGGCAACAGGTGAGCGCGCACACTTACAAGGCTTGCATTTAAGCGCGGTCAAAGTAAGAGGCAAAGAGGCAGTCCACCACAGGCCGCTGTTCGAGACCTGTCCACACGTCAGGAACAAAGGGCTCACGTTCTTGGGCCAGCTTTACCCCCTGTGGGGCCCGCGCTGGTTATGTATAATCTGTGAGCCGCAATTTTCACATCTCAAAAAATTGAGAGGATAACATCTTGCAAGGTTTGTTGTTGTTTTCATGAGTAAATAAGATATCAAGCACTTAGTACCTGGCTCGTGACATAGTGCTAGTGTTTGCGGTTGCTGTTAAATCCACCACTAGCATCTTCTACATTCTAGAAATGCTGCGCACAGTCTTGACTTGTTTGGTACTTATTTTGTGTTTCCGAATAATATAAATGGCTAACGTTTGTCAAACCATTGCTGTGCACGGTGCTGTAAATACCTTACATGCATTTGCTGTTCTCTCACTGCATCCCTTCAATGGTCTTATTGGTGGGTATTCTTGGCCCTACTTTGTGGATGACGCGGGCAAAGCTCAGAGTCAGGCATTTCAGCCAAGGACCCGCAGCTCTTTCAGCTCAGCAGATGTTAGATGACATTTTGGTCACATTGGTTTGGTTCTCATTGGTAGGAGTACGTGATGCTAAGCCTGAGAGAGCAGCATGTCCTCAGGAACTCAAAGGTCTATTTGGGCCCCTGCAGCATTCCAACCAACAGGCTGGGCACAGCTCTCCAAAGAACTCACTGGCTCGAGGGGTGCTGCCCACGCCTCACCCTGAAACATAGGGGTGCATGTGGGTACAAGTATGTCTGCAGTTGACCCTTGAACAACATGGGTTTGAATTGAGCAGGTCCACTTATATGCAGATTTTTTTCAATAAACACTAGGTATATTTTCTCTTTACGATATTCCTCATAACATTTTTTTTTCTAGCTGACTTTATCATAAGAATACAAATAACACAAAGTATGTGTTAATCTACTATGTTATTGGTAAGGCTTCTGGTCAGCAATTGGCTATTACTAGTTAAGTTTTGGAGGAGTCAAAATTATATGGGGATTTCCAACTGCATAGAGCGTCAACACCCCTAACCCATGTTCAGGAGTCAACTGTGTGTGTTTGGGAGGATCTGAGAAGTAAAATATGGAGAAAAGGAAGTTGACATGATTTTGATATCTTTAATTGGCTAGGCACTAGACCTATGTGGTTACCTATGTACTAGGTGCAATACCTATTGCTATGGATTGCTTTTTAAAATTTGTATTATTTTACAGATTTGGAAATTGACTCTTATAAGATTATTTAGGTCAGTAAAGAGCCGCCAGCATGCCAAAGCTGCTTCCTTGACCCCTGCCTGTTTGTCCTACAAAGGCAAAGTTGAACCATTGCAACAAATGGCCCATAATGCCTAAAAGTTTGCCAACTCCTGGTTTAGATGATGTGATGACAATCATACATGTTCTTTCCACCCGAACATATTTTTTCATCCCAAATACCAGTCTATATAGTAATGGTTGTCCAAGATGAAGTCTTCACCTGTCTGCAACAAAATAAAAATGATAATACAGTGAATTATAAAAAACAAAAAATCAATTTAAAGAGCTGTCTTTTCCCCTGATAACATATTACTTAATGTTTCTCAGACACATGAAAATTAAAGAACGCTAACAGTCCTTGTTAGTCATCTATTTTTAAAAATAATTCCAATTGCACAGCAATAGCACTGACTCCTGGGAAGCACCCTACCCACCATGCTAGCCAGGAACTTGGCTGGCATGACAGGGCTGTCTGAGCACCGTTTCTCCTGCTGTCCTAGTTTTGAACCATCCCCTCCACGACGGCATCTGCAGAGATTACTCAGAATTCTTTAACTGCTGTGATTAATTGCCTAGATGTGTCTGCATTTGTTTCTGCATTCTTACGGCAGCTTCAGTGTTTCTGGAAGCTCTCTTGTTTACGAGTCACTTAACCGGGAGACACACACTCTTGGGTGAGATAGATCATAGCCTAAGACCTTTCTAATCGGGTCAGATGGCTCCCACATGTTAGAAAGACTGTGGACCGCAAGCACGTGTACCTGGCTCTAGACGATTCATGTTATCAACAGGCACCTTGGAAATGCCATGGAGATTCTTTCTTCGATATCACTGACATTAAACGGATACCGTCCAGCTGAGTGTTTCTGACTCCTCCCTCTTGTCCCTCTTCTGTAGTGCACGGTGACCTGTGGAGGAGGGATCCAGACCCGATCCGTCCACTGTGTTCAGCAGGGCCGGCCTTCCTCAAGTTGTCTGCTCCGGCAGAAACCTCCAGTGATACGAGCCTGTAATACTAACTTTTGCCCAGCTCCTGAAAAGAGAGGTAAAAAGGACCAGACACTCCTGTTAATTTTACTAGTCTTAAGAGATTTCAAAACCCCGTCATATTTGGTTGTGCAGCTTGTATATTCCACGCCTCTAGGGGGTGCCATTCGCATCAAAGTCTATGTGAGCAGCACTCCTTGGAGGCACACAGGGGACAAATCAAATCCAGGCAGTTCCCCTTCAACATGATCTCTGTGCAGGGAACATTTTGTTCTATGATGAGGCTTTTTAGTTATTAACTTACTTCGAAAGGGAGAAATGGTAATCTTGTGAGCCCATTTTTCTAAACTAAAGTTTAATTGAACAAACACATGAAAAAGGAACTACGTGTGCCAGAGGTTATAGTAATCAGGGGGCTTGCAAGAGTGAACAAGAATTGCCCTCGAGGAGCTCACATTTTAACTGAGAAGACAGATACATTACAGTCCATTACAGTGACTATGTATTGTCCTAGGACTACAGCTGGAATGCTTTCTTAGTTCAAACGAAGTGCAGTGAGTGCTCATGGGAAATCCTTTCAATGAACTATCCCAACTTATTTCAAATATCACGAAATATTTTTCAGCCTAACCAGATTTCCTTGGGCTAAAGAATCATGTACCTGCTGAGTTTTCATGTAATCACAGCTTTTTCCAAGACTCTCTAGTCTCTTGGCTTAAGCTCATCAGACAGTGGCGAGTCCTCACTTCCCATCTCTGTCTACAGTGTTGTTTATCTACTTCTTAGAGAGCCTTAGCTCCAGGCTCTAGCATCACGTCTCTTCCTCTGCTCTCTCCCCTATCTTATCTGAGGCTTGCACAAGACCAAAATGCTAGTGATATAGCAGTTGCTCAGTCAGGTCACCTCTTGGCAATGCTGGAATTCTACAAACCTGCAGCCTTTCTCAGCAGAAAGCTTATGGGGGGAAACTACACACATTTTGAGCAAATGGTCACATTTTCCCAGACCATCTTTCTTCACTATCAGCGATTTCAAATTTCCACCCTTCAGTCAGATGGCTCCAGATGCAACTACTCATGACTGAGGGAACCAGATCCTGGAGCTCTGTCCCCCAATGCAAGAACTACCTTTTACTCTGAGAGCTGATGGGAGAGTTTGGGGCAGAAGCATTACAGAAACTGGCTTAATTTTTTCCAAGGATCACTGGGGTCACTATTAGGTGGGATGTGTGTGTAAAAGGGAATTTTAGGCAGTGCTGAATCATAGAAAGGCTGCAAGTTGTGAGCTTTGCATGCTGTGACCAGAGGCAGAGTGGAGAAGAGCCACATGTGTGTGGTTTTAGGTGAGCTGAAGGTAAAGGCAACTTAAGACTTGCATAGAGGAGGGGAAAACCATCCCGGCCTTGAATGAGAATATCCATGTCGAGGGTAGACCCTAAATATTATTGAAGTCAAAACTCCTTGAGAATCCCATAAAATGACTGGCCCTAACTCCTCAGACATGTATGTATGTTTACATAAATAACATCTTACTTACAGTATCATTTGCATTCTGTATCTCATGAGGCCCTTCTGGGGAGGAAGCCCTGGTGTACAATGTCCTGCTTCTAGTCAATAATCACATCCGTTCTCCTACTTAAACAAAAGTTAGAAAGGACTGGTGTTGACTTAAACCCACTTAGTTGCAGATTGGCTATGGGATTTACTTAAACCTACAGTGTTGCAGCTGGGCCTCCAAACCAGGTGTCCCAGCTCCCCATAATTAGGCTCCTTGTTCCCCAAAGTAACTTGCATGGACCAGCAGCAGCATTGCCTGCATGCTTGTTAGAAATATAGAACCCCAGCACGCAGCATAGACCCTCTAAGTCAGAACCAATGGTTTCACAAGATCCTTAGGTGATTCTGAATGTGCTGTTCTAGGGACTTCCCTTGGGTGCAAAATGCTACCTCCCAGGCTATTTGGGGAGAATCAGATAATCTCTAGCCAGATATGACTTTTTTTCTTAACATCCACTTTTCCCCCACTTGTTTAAATTTTACCAATAGTCCCTTTTAATGTCTCAATCCTGTTCCCCCCACCCTCCTACCAAGCCCTAATGGATAAGAAGAACCACTCAGAAGCACAGCCAGGCCAATCCAAGGCCTTTGAGCTGCAGGCCTTCCCCGTAAGAAAAGAGACTGAGCCTTTTCCTAACATGCTAAATACGTTTTCTCATTTTAGAGGATCCATCCTGTGTAGATTTCTTCAACTGGTGTAATCTAGTCCCTCAACACGGAGTCTGCAACCACAAATTTTACGGCAAACAGTGCTGTAAGGCATGCACAAGGAAGAGCTGA